ATAAGAGAACTGTAATTGTGAATTATCTGAGCTTCTTTGTTGCTACTAAAAACTTGATAGAATTTTTCTAGGGTCCTCGGATGTCCATTACAATCAGAAATGCATTTTTTAATGACAAACAACCTATGCTCTTCTAAGTTTAAACTCCTTATAACTTCATTAAATAATTCTGCCGATTCTGAAACCTCTAGTCTTCTTAATGGTATCCATTCAATTTGTCTACCTGAGTCAGTCATATTACTTTGCACATAAACTGCATCAAGTGTAGTCAGGATAAAATTAAATTTGATAAACTCTTTTTTATCTTTTGCAAACTCTTGGTAGGGATTATAGAGATGATTTAAGAATTTATTAACTTTAGCTTGTTTTTGATTTGTATCAGTGCCTGACAAAATTTTCATAATCTCATCAATGCATAGAAGTATTCGTTTCTTCGAATGATAAAAGATGCTTTGAACAGCAGTACGAATGTTCAATGATTCAAAATTTGTTTTAAATTTCTCACAAAAATTCTGCCAGCTTAGTTTTCCATCATCGAAAAAATAACTCCATAAGATACGCATTACTAATCCTCTTTCAATATTATCATCTACGAATTCATCAAAATTGTATGCTGAATGTCCATTGTATGTTATGCAAACTGCAACCGAATTATGAAGCATATTTATGACATTATTAACTGCCTCATTGTAACAATGGTCCTCTTCGTCTTCTATAATAAAAGGGTGTTGACGATTCTTGCTTCTCAAATAATTATCAAAATCTTCATTTTTCAAGGCAGCCAATTCATCAAGAAAGAAAGATTTTCCTCCTCCTGGTGTGGCTTGAATTGTGAGAACACGGTGATAAGTTTTACCACCAACACTTTTCCCTTTATCCGAGGCTTTCTTAATTCTAAAATAACGCTCAACAATATAATCATATATTCCATGTAGTGTTTCATCTCTACCTTTTCTTTGAAAGTTAAATTCATTTTCACATAGTTGATGTGGCTTTGTGAAATCATCTTTGACACCTTCTTGTCCTTCTAGAAACTCTGCTATAGATTCAGGAGTGGTAGGTACTTTTGGATTTATGTAAATACAAAGAAATGTTAGTTCCAAACAGTAATATTTAAAACTAGAAGGAATGATATTTAACGTATATGATTCTATTTTCCACAGAATTTAAGATATATTACCAACTGTTTGTTTCACTTTTTTATCAGTAAATTCCTCGTTCGAATCTTCCACTTTCCTTTTGCCTGATCGAATAAAAAAAATATGGGAAGCAAATGTGTTTTTTGGCGGTTTGATGATAAGAAGCAGGAAAGAAAAACACAAGAATAAGTAAGTATTCAGTATTATTGGTGAATATGGCATGGTCTGAATTTACCTGCTGCAATGAGTAAAGAGAAAAAAAAAGAAACAAAGCACAAGTTACTCAAAGTTGTAAGCAGTGTACAAAACAAATAAATAAAACGAACAAAAAGTTTTTTTTTTTTTCTTATGCAATTTGTTCATTACCTTTTTCTTTATCAAAATCCATCAATGCATCTAGTAATTTCTTAACCTGGTACCACCTCTCATCCTTCTCCTTCTCTAACCTTTCCTTTTTTTTCCTTAAATCTTCCATTCCCCACCTTTCTTCAAATGACTTCAAGTTCTCCTCTTCCATAAACTTATTCAATTCTGCTTCCGCCATCTCATAATATCCTGTTGCCTTGTTTAATTCTTGATTAATTTCTTGGTGTGCTGCCATTTTTAAAATTAAAATTAATATTTTGAAAAAAAGTTTTTTTTTTAATTTAGATCATAATTGTTACAAATAATACAAATAATTTCGATCAATGATAAATTAGTGGGCACATGACTTGGAATTTAAACAATTATTTTAAACCAA